AATAATCCTTAGCTTCAAGTCCACACTGTGTTAACAGTTCCTCTGCTGATGCTCAGGCTTTGTCCTGAAACTGAACCAGTGCTGAAAGCAGAAATATTGTTTAAACTGCTGTTAGACAAGGGGAATTCTTTTCAATACAGAAAATTTCTGTCTTGTTGTTTATAACAACTTTGTCCTCAGGAGGCATGGATTCGAGTGGATGTGTTTCTGGCACCTGTAGTGGTGGATACTGTAGAGATTTATGAAGATGGACATTTATAAGGCTGGAAATGCTATGTTCTTCCAAGCTTGTTAGAATGAAACAGATCTGAATTCTTTACAAAACAAATGAACTAAATAATTTCATCAAATCCTTTTTTTTTTCTCAGTCTGATCCTATCTTTAAACATGAATGCATTGCTGTGAAGTAAGAACAAATGCAGCAAAATACTCTCCTGTTTTTTTTTCATATTCTAGCAAAACTAAGATAACATAGATCTACTAAATAATAAAAGGATATACTTGTATTTCAGTCACAGCAGTCAGCTAAAATGCCTGAAAATATATAATGAAGTTAAAGGCATAGACATGAAGGTTTTCTCTTTTAGTCTGTAAGATGCTTGAATGTGTACTGAAACTGCAACTTGAACAAGTTAAAGATACAAATAAAAGCAAATCCTCAGAAACAGTCCATAATTCCCTTTGCTTCCAGTGAGAAATTTGCCTGTGTCTGCAAATCTCTGCATTTGGCAGCTGTACCTAATACAGTTTAAACTCTCACTGGCATCAGCAAAAAATTACCTGATTAGGGATGCAGGATTGGATCTAAGATAATAGCATATTAATAATCCACTATGCATTCAAAAGCTACTAATGGAAATTAAATCCCCCCCAAAAAGCAGTTGAGCAGCTTTCACTGTAGGTACTCAAAATGCTAAACAATAGTAGCTCTTGCTTGTGTGACCATCAGGAAACACAGCCGGGCTTCTTTGTGTTACAATTAATGACTTCCGTTGTATATAAAATTGAAAGTATTGGTACTCCGGGGCGGAAAAAGGATATCCTGATACACTGCTCCTATTTCCTTACCAAGGCCTATTACTGAATGTTTCACCACTAATTCAGTTACAATGAATTATCCTGCAGTGAATAAAGGCAGGGTAGATTGGGTGGTTAATTGTTACACTGAAAGCCGCTTTTCTCCTTGCCTTTTCACTCTCCTACATTTTTATCTCATTTTACTACTTTCACGTGTGCCCACTTTGATAGCAATTATTCACTTTTAAGTAGCTGCACTTAATAATGTAAGTCTAAAATAAACATTTACTTAACTATCCCTTGACTTAAAGATTGTTCTATCAATATTTTTTATGTTACAAGATCAGAGAAAGCAAAACCTTCGTCACTCTCCTTTAAAGGAATGAATAAAATAGTCTCAGCTGAAGTATTTGTGGCCAGGTTCTCTGCAGCTGGCACACAGAGATGTAATTTATACCTTTCTGTGCCAGTGAATTTCCCTAAGCTGGAGGGGAGTGAGGATTCTTACCCAGAGTTAGGGAGGAGTAGTAACAGCCCTCTGTTATGCATTCTTTAATTTTTTTTTTTGTGAGAATTGCATAGGAGCGAAAACTGTTTGAGGTTGTACTAAATAGGCAAATATGGACCCTAAGGATATATACTACCCCCAGACTTTAATATCTACTTTTTAATAACACTGACTCTTTCTTTTTAGAGAACTTCTGAACAGAGAGCAGCTTCTGGGACTGCTTAGGAGATCAATGAAGGCTCCAACAACCACTAGCCATACAAGTCTATAAAAGGTGCAAAATGTGGTATGTATTGAGAATTTAATCTCTCAGCATGTGCCTCCTAACCTGTGGTTATGTGCATAGGTGTAATTACCACCAGCAGCCTGTTTCCAGTCCATTCTAGGTTGTGTAACACAAAGCTGAATAAGTGACATGAGGAAAACGTGAGAATAAGTAAATTCTGCCAAATGAACTGAAATCTTGCAAGTTTGAATTCAGACTGGTGTCACAATGCAGAAGAATGTCAGCTCAGAAGAGCTCACATTCCAGAAACTGGTTTACATAATAACAGAGGGCAGAAAATCACTATCCACAAAACATTACAGCCCTGTTCTTTTGCTGCAGCAGCTGGCAGTGGGAATACAATCCAAAAGGAAAACTCTGCTCTGTCATTATTTTATATCAACATAGCTTAGATTTAGGTATGCTCTATTTGATGCCATAGCTAGAACCTGAAGCTCTGGCTTGCACTATCACATTTCTTGCAAGGATTTTCTGGCCAGAAGTAGATGCTGTGTAGTGTACATGCAACAAAGCAGAAACTTTCAATTAGTGTCATATATATGGTGTACCCACAATGAATCTCAGTAAGTCTCAGTAAGGGATTTGCAGGAGGCAGTAGCTGAGTACACTCACACTGCCACCTCAGCCCATTCTATTACTTTTTACCCCCCAGTTTCCAGGCCTGTGTCAGTCACAGGAACTGGTCAGGCTTCTGCCTGTGCATTAATCACAGGGGAATCTGAGATGTCCTCAGAATCAGTACAGGGAAAAAATTGCAGGAAGAAAGTGTGTCAAGGAATGTGATGGGTGCAGCAGAAAAACATTTGTTTGTGAAAGAATGTATCTGGTCTTTGTTTATAATGCACAAATAAAAGTTTTATTCCTTAATCCTTTTTTTTTTTAAATATATATATGAAGCCAGATTTTGAAGAGTGTGCCCTTTTTTTCTTTTCCCACATCATCTATGCTGTCAGAAGTCTAGAGATGTTACCTCATAAAGCACAAATACCTAACAGATAACAAAATCTAGGTCTCTAAGTGCACTCAGTTCCATGCAATATTCTTAAACTATATCTAATAAATGGACTATAGGACAACAGTTTAGGCTGAAATACCTCAGGTATGAAACACATCCACTTAAAGGAAATCAGAGGCTCAGTTCTGAGTGTTTCAATCCATATACATGTTCCATACATGCATATAGGAATGCTTGCATTAATCAACATTAAGATTTCTTTAAATGAAACTAAACCTCAATCCTAATATTATTTTCCAGTCTACATCTTAAAATAATTTAAACCCTGTAAATCATTCTTTTGTTCTGAAATGAGATATTTAATTATAGCTATAGATATTTATTAAACTTCCCCAAACAATGTAAAAGAACAGTAAGTTTCCTGGCTTTAGTGTAGCAAGCACTATTCATTCCACAAGCACTGGAAGAACCATCACCTTTATTCAATTCAAAGTTGTATTTTTATCTGTATCTTCTAATTAAAGGAAAATGAATAATTAATTCTGTTTTAGAAAGACCTCCTCTCTTTTTCAGTAACACTACACATAGTAAAACTAAGTGGAAGCAGAAGAATTTCCATAATGCCTTTGTCATTAATGAAAATAACCTGATTTTTAAAGCAGTAAGATTAGAAAATACTTTTGTAGTAGAGGCAGATTTATTAATGATACCTTATGCATACTAATTTATTATTCCCTAACAGTTAAAATCTGGAAACTTTTAAAAGAAAAATGTTTTGTTCAAAAGTTAAGCTTCATTAAAAAAAAAAAAAATCATTCTGCTTGTCCTTACTGCATAGAAAAGTCTTGTGACTCAGCCTGACAGTCCTTATTAGTACAACACACGTTTGTTACTGTTTTCTTTTGATGTAATCTTCCTAAGAGGAGGAGGAACTGCATTTTAACAGCTATCCAAGGGCATGTTTTATAGGCACACAGCACAGAATTTATGCCTGAATATGATCTGAATCTCATCCATAACTCTGATTTGGCTGGGAGAACAAAGCATTTCATTGTGTTTCAATAATGGTTTCAGCAATCTTATTCACACATTCCTTCCTTCCTTAATCAACAGAAACTGGCTGAATTCAAGAGGCATGATTGGGGCTGGGGGGGGGAATAATGCCAAGGCCTATAGTTTTGAAATCACCATTTTCTTCAGAGCAAGTAATAATGTCTCTCCTATTAAGAATCTCTTAATGCAAGACTTGTCAAGCTATTTTGCACCATGTCCTTTCCTACTGAACTTTGCCCTGTTCCCTCTTAGCTGGCACAGGGCTATGCCTGTGCCTCTGCTGCTTCCACTTCCGACAACTGAGCTTTCCAGGGATCACAGGGCACAGTTTAGGAACCACTGTCTTGTGCAAAGGTTAAAGGTCTGAACAGACAATCTGAAAAACAGTGATTTTGAACTGGCAGAATATTGCAATGTGATCTGGTCATTCTTTTGAATTGTTTTTCCTTACGCACATTATGAACGGAAATCATGGCTTTAAAATAAAATCAAAGTGCACACAGCTGTGATTCCTGATGCTGTACTTTGTAATGCCATCTGAAGCCAAGTCTGTCTCTTTATCATCTAACTTCTTAATTAGGTTTAATGTACTTATCTCTAAAAAGCCTGCCTTCCTAAGAAGTGTGAATCAGGAATGCACAAAATGGCTGTTTTTAAAAAACACCCTGCTATATGAAGATATCCTTTCATTTGGAAGTATTCCTTGGTACTAGAGCTCACTGAGGATGCTTAAAACATTTTGTGCATTATTTAAAATAACTTTTGCTAAGGAATGGAAGAACACCTACCTGAACTTATGCAGTTAAACTTTGTTTGCAGATTCATCGATGTAACTTAAGACAGAATTTGCCCATTCCTTACAAAGTTACCATAAACAGTGTTTGTTGACACAATAAGGTCTGTGACTGTAAAGGTCTTGCTAAGTTATAACATGTACTGTTAGAACACTACATTTTTTAAGCATACTGATATTTGTTTGTTTAAAACAACATTATTTGGTTAATAAAATATTCAAGACTGATAAACAATAATGCTGAAACCAATGCTTTTACTTTTTATTTTCAGGTCTGAAGTAGAGAGTACAAGCTTGTGTGTGTTTTCTTATCAGTGTTACATGGCTGAAAGCTGTCAGCTGTTCACATGCCATATTAATAAATATGCCCAAATCATAAAGCTTTAACTGTATTTGCACATTGCTTTTATTACTAGACTGTTTTATTCATCTTGGCACAGATAATCCATGCAAGGTAGTTACTCACATCTCATAAACCACACTACATTCTGTTCTGAAATAACTAGAAACTTAGGAAAAAATATATATCTAAAAGCAGGGGCACTTGTGGCATCAAGTCAATATATTATAAAACCTAGACTTCTAATATATGATCACTGCAGGCAATAAATCACTCAGTTTCAAATTCTGATGTTTATAAATACTAAACAAATTAATATCCGCTACCAGGAGACGAGTCCGGCAAACAAACATTAGCGTGCCCAGCATTAGACACTAATAAGTGTGTTCAGTGCTGTGGAAATTCACATTATTAAACATAAATACAAATAATCTTTAATAAAACATTTCACCCAAAATACTGACCACTGAAGGACCAAAGAAAAAAATATTTTTCTTCGTTTTGAATTGATTTTAGAACTGTGTAATGTGTGGATCCAATATAGTAAAAATTAAATTCTAAAAAAAACAAGTCCTAAGACTGTTTTTTTTTGCCTAGATAATAAAAGCAGTCATCCTTGGAAACATTTAATTTACCTTGTTCTGCAGAAAGAACACAAAAAGAGAGAAAAGCATTAAGATAGTTTTTGAAGCCTTAGACTGAAAAGTTATTGAACACTTTTTGTTAGATGAAAGACTGGTCTTTTTAATTGATCATTCAGAGGTACAGTATCTTTGCTTTATTAGGTAAAACCCCACATTAATTAGAATGAAAAGAAATATTCAGAGGAACTTAGGACTCATCCCAGGTATCTATTACAAGACATAAAACATAAACAAGTACACATTATTAACCTTGCATATTTTTGTACAACATTATGTTCAGTGATAATTGAAAGGCCATGTTTTGAATTTTAGATATATATATTATATATATGCATTTTACACTCTCCATATCACAAAGGTGACATGTGGCAGAAGAGTATCAGCAGTTATGTGGTATCCTACCCCTGTGAAAGTTAAAATGCTACATTATTCAAAAATTTCTGATTCAGATATGTGCAAAAATTATATCTTAATATAGATATCAAGGGCGGGTACGTGGATTCCCTATTTTTGGACCACATTATGAAGCAGCACAAGTCATAACAGGAAATTTTTATTACATGATAATCCTCAGGGTATCTCTGTTCTTCATTCAGAGATACCACTGCACCTCATATAGTGATATGTAAACTAGCTTTAATCTCACTTGCTCAGACACCAGCTGGAGTCAGGGCATGTGCTACAGTGCAGGTTATCTGCCCAAGGAAATTTTCAAGACTCTCTCAAGTTTGTACGGCTCCCATTGAGAAGGAAATTTTCAGGATTCTCTCAAGCCAGTACAGCTCCCACTGAAGTCTGTGCTGCTGCATTTTCGCTGTTGCCACCCCACGGGTTCAGCTCAGCTCTGCTTGTGGACGTTGTGTTCACTTTTCTGCAGCGCTGACTTCAGGTTTAATACGTTGGGATTGGATCCTCGCTCACCTCTTCTGTACATACTCACAGCACCTCTCTGGGCTATTGTGAGCTACTTGTACCCTAATTTCTTAATTCAAGCCCTTTCCCTGACTGTAGTGAGTCATCCTGGCTATGCCCCCACCTCTGTTCCCGCTCTGCCCCACCCCAACTACCTAACATGTCAGCCTGGTGAAACCGGCCTTACCTGGCTATTCCCCCCACTCCAACCCCAGCCTCAGGAAGGGCTTCCCTTACCTTTTTACACTAAACCAGGGGTCCCCAGAGCCCCTACATTCTGGCTGCTGCAGGAACTCTGCCTTCTCTGACCCAAGCCCCCCTTCCCCTGCCCACATGGAAATCCCCATCTCCCACAGCCCTGTCCAAACCAGCAACTCCAGCTGCCAGCCTGGGCTCCTCAGTGGACTTCAAGAAGGGACAGACTCAGCCATGCTGTGTCTGTCAACAACATCTCCCAGTCTGTAGCCCTGCCCAAGCTGCAGCCCTCCACCTCTGGCCATATCCTAGAATGCTTCATCCTTCACGCTGCCAGGGAAGCTTTTAGGGACATCGAGGGGGAAGGTGGAGGGAGGATGAGACACACACACACACACATACATGCACATCAGAGGTGAAAGACCTTCTGAAATTCTCCTGAGGCTTCCACCACAAGCCCTACCATTTTGTGTCTTCCCATGGAGCCTGACTCCCTGTTTTGATGTTGCAGTCAGAGACTAGTCCCAGTCAGTGGGTAACACAGAAATCTGTCTAAAGAATATCTTCAATGCACTCTTAGTATATAGTATGCTGATATGAATTCTCTCAAATAACAGATAATGACATCATTTTGTAGAATGACATTGAAAAAAGGAAATCTAGAATTTTCTCACTGTTGTGAAAATGTATTTAATGAAGTCAAATTAGGGGTGGAAAAAATATTTATCTTCCATAATTACTATTTATTAATCTGGAGAATATTGTGAGCCAGATCTTTGGATTTTGTAATCTATGGAACCATATTCATACCAGCCCAGCACCGACTGAAAACAGAAAATTTACTTGCTTATAGAAAAAAAAAAGGCTTTGCATATAATGTACTAGTGTTTTAGACTAATTCATGCATACAAAAATCTGAGCCTGTAGCACTCAGGTCAGATCACTGCTAAGATCAGTGAAAACTAAGATACCTACTGAATAAATACCGGTCATACATGTCAAAACTGCCACAGGCAGTTCAGGTTGTTATTTTTGTCCAAGATGCAAACTGCCTGCAGCTAACTTAACTCTCATATTAGAACTCCAAATTTCTTTTATTGCTCTCCCAAACTCTGGACAGTTTTTCATTCCTCGAGAGACACATAAATATCTTAAAATGGGCATTACCCATTATGCCCCCATAGGAGGGGCAAGGCAGACAATGTTATGTAATTTTTTGTTGCTCAAAGCACAAGGTAAAATAGGTGCAGATGGCACCAGCATGTGGCCCACAGAATGCATCCTCAGCCTCAGAAATACTAATTCCAAACTGTCAGTACTGCAAGCTGTCAACACACACATCATAATTCTCACTTAAACGAGTTAATAAAACTTGAATAGTGATCAGACTTTCCATCTTAACTCCATCAGACAGAACTGCTGTCTCCAGTATAAAAGTCATTGCTATTTAAAAATTCAGAAGTGTTATCAGTACTACAAGTTTTGCTCATTTGAAAAAAATCCAAAAAAATGTTCTATAAATAACTGTTTGAGCAACTTGAAAGTCGTTCTTAAAATATTAGAAGAAAGATGACTGTATGGTTCTTAGAAAAGGTGACTGTATGGTTATCCTAATTGTCAGAACTTAGCTACTGTTTTACAATGGCAAATACTGCTACAATTAATGATGTGTTGCATTTAAACTAAGGAAAGTAATACAGAGTGTGTGCCTGCTGCCTTATGAATTTTTAATCAATGTTAATTTACTATAGGAAAAAAAAATGCCTTTTTCGTAATTATGTGAGATAGAAAAGGGAATCTTCCACTTCCTGGCTGTGCTAGATGGATGTGTTTCTTCTGTATTCATCAGTGTGAAGGTCCAGATGTAGATTTCTACCTCCCTCTGGTATCAATGGGAATTAGAATCCAAAGAGACTTTAAATTTATTTTTTTTTTCCTCAAGAGGAAAGGAAAACTTATTTCAAATTAAAACTTATTTCCAGATAGCTCTATTCCATTCAATGTCAGAGCAATTTGGAGAAAGCCAGTTGTCCCTTTTCCATTATGATTTGAAAGTGGACTGATCTACTGTACACATATAAGCCAAGTGCCCTGGCAAGGCTGACCCAGCATGCTTTTCTCAATCCTACTGGGTTATGGGAGGCATTATTCCATTTCCACTTCATTTTCAAACTGTTATGGATTGTCACCTAGGCTTCCCAGCTACACATGGATTCAAGGCAGACTTCTTATTTGGAAAGAATCTAAAATATCTGATGCTATGAGGTAGCACCACAACATAATGGAATAGCACTCACTTTCATAGAGGAAGCCCTAATCTATTTATTTCCCTTTGAAAGCTATGGCCTTTGGTTCTACAGATGACTGTACATATGGCACTTACTCATTCTTGCTGTGAAAGAAAATGACTTGCTACAAAAGGATTTTTCCAGTTGTTTTTAAACACCAGTGTGTGGTCTAAGCAGTAAAACTGCTGTGGGTAGTTCAACTGAAACTGTATTTGCACATTACTTTTTATATTAAGGTTTTCAATTAATTTCAAGATTTTCCCCAGCTGTTGCTCTAATAACGGACTAGTTCATTAGTTCAGTTGGTTTTGACTGTTCATTCAGGTTTTCATGTGAACCTTGCAAAAAAAGCACGTTCTGCATTTATGAAAGAGGATAAAGTTAAACTTCTGAAGTACCAACTGCCTAGCTTTTACCAAGGGAAATGCTAGCCATGGTTATCAACTTTATGATTGCCCAGTTAGTCATCTGTTTTACCCCAGCATTACTGACTACCAACTCTTCTTTTAAACATTGATGGCATGGGCATGCTTCTTGCACAGTGGCTTATCCTTCTTGGAGTAGAATGGCTGACCTTCCAAATTCACATGGCATACCTAGAATTAATAACAAATACAATCAGGAATAATTAAGGGGGAAAAAAAGAGCGAGATAGATGTGACTATCAATTTCAACTGTACTTCTCTTCTGCCCATGCATTTCATTGCTAGAAGTGCATCTGATTTCCTGGTTCAAAGTGCATGCCTTGGTAGTTTTCCTACTCCACACTGAGGTTAGGCTCTGGTCTGCATCAGCTCTCCTATCTGTACTTTCCTGACACCCCTGCCCGCTAAGTTTACTGGTACACGATCCCCTGGGCAGCTTTGGCACATCCAAGCAGTGTTTGTGTGGACTGCCAAAGGATGTTGGCACACTGGAGCACATGCTCCGACTTTCAGATCCCGATTCTGATCCTTTAACACGCACAGGACTTCCCAAAGGCTCTGGTGAGGTGCCATGCTCCCAGGGGCACCAGCCTTTCATGAGACCATTAGACACCCATTTCTATGGGTACTGTTTCTTGGTATGGGCACTTATGTGATCAAGGAGTGAGTCATTTAGACAGCCATCACTGAATACTAATCACTTATTCTTACCAGGTTACTCTGCAACCCCAGAGTTCTCTGCCTGGCTGCCTTAGGTGTCAGTGTTGACATAACAAAGCAGGTGAGAATGCACGGCTGGGGCGAGGCAGCCCGGGTTTAGGTCAGCTCAGACTGCCCTGGAATTGCTCAGGTGTCTACACAGGGTAGTGCAACGCCACTTGCAAGGTCAGAGTTGACTAGAACCACTTAAGGCAGGCAACACATCACAATCTAGAAGTAAGAGTAAACATTGTCCCTAATGCTTATGGCGGGGTTAGGTGGCAACATCAGATGTGCTACTGCACGTTGCAGGATATGAGGATAGCATCTCAGAAATCAGGAGTCATGTATTGATTTGCATTTGACTTAACCCATTGAAAGAAATAAAGTTAGGTCCTAAAAAAGAACCCCACTGTGAGGCATAATAAAACTATCACCTCCACAGAAAACTGGGTAGCTGAGGTAAACGAGCAGAAAAAGAACATGAAATATTCAGAGGAAGTGTCTTTTATAAGTGATCAATATTTATAAGTGATTAATAGCTCTCAGTTTGTGAAGGAAACTCTATTCCTACGTTAGAATTTCCAAAAGACTTCAGTTTTCACAAGACACTTTTGTGTCACTCACTTCCATGTACCCCTGAGAGACCAGCAGCTAGTTTAGCTTTAGATATTTATAAACATTTCTATACTTTCAACTCTTCAACCTAAATTTTAGAGTTAAACAAACATTAGAAATTGTCACTGTCAGTTTGGCGTGGCCAACATACTATTTTTAGCTAATTAGAGGTTCTAGATATTATCACTTTAGGAATACTATCTTGTGGAGCTGCACAGCAGTATTAGAACCAGATGAAAGTACTTTTATCATATGGATTTTCCTGCTTTGTGTGCAGAGTGTGGGAATATGGCCACCCTCTATAGCTGTGTGCACACCACAGATTGATGAGTTTGCCCAACTTCTATGTTAACTACTATTCATTCTCTCTAAACAGACTCCTTTTTGCAAGTTTCAACAAGCATTCTGCTTGGAAATACAAACTTTGCTGCTTTTTAAGTAAGATTATGGTTATGCTGTTCAGTATGGTGTTAAATTATTTTCAGTCTTGCTCTATCTTTATTTGGTAAACACTGGAAAGAGTAACAGCAATAGTGGTATGTATTGCTGTATGTACTCTCTAAAACTGGATGTTTTATCAGAAAACACTCACTTGTGACGGTCAAATTTCATAATTCTAGTAAAAGTTTATGCAGGAGAAGAGAAATGACTCCCATCCTTCTCCATCTGCAAGTGAAAAATGAAATTCCATCCCTCCACATCCTTAGGCATATGTTAGTCATTCCTGTTTTCAGGTTTTCTGATGTTACTACAAAATTTAGGAGTATAAAGGAATGAGATAGTATTTGGTGTGGAACCTACAGCACAAATGAAGCAGGTATCATGCCAAGTGTGTCCAAGAGCTTCAATGAATTTGTCTCCAGCTTCAACAGGATAATCACAGCCATGGCATTTTGTGCTGAACAAAGCAATATAATCTAAAATAAAACAGAAAGCAAACTTAGAACAAACTCTTAATGTCATTGTATTAAATCCAAGAGAAATAGAAAGTTTCCAGACAATGAATCTTTTGATTGTTTTTGCTCAGTTTCCAACTACATTCACTGAAACACTCATACTGAAATTTGGTTATTTTCTTTCGTTATTTCAATACAAACTCAGTTCAAAACCCCACGTCAGTATGACATTTGTCATCACAAATCTAAAAGACAAACAAAAAAATTAATGGAATTTGAACTTATGTTTCTCACATTACTTTTAAATTAGCTTTAATGTATGTGGAATCTATTAATAAGGACAAATATGGTCATACAAAGGAGTCTAATGGCCAGGGAATGTTAACAAGTTTTCATCACTGGATTTATGTTCTTCCTGCATTGAAAGAATATTATGATAACCCCATACTGGCTGATTAGTACATCTTTACTTTGATTATCAAGTGCACTCAAAAAAGGCTTGACATTGAAAAGATTAGTGGAAATTCTAAAGGTAGATGGAATTCATGAGAGTTATTAGATGTTATGACAAAACCTCCAGTTTTAGAAGGAAGGTGCCCAGTCAGTTCAGCTGTGTGGTTTTTACTCTTCAATAAGAGTTACTCTGATTTGTAAAATTTGAATTGCATAAACCATAAGGAAGGAATCTCCAGAGAGAAGTAGGCTGGAGGCTCTTTGAATGGACAAGGGGATACAGAGGGAATATCACTTAAACCTTAACCTCCCTCCCTCCCATGTCAGGCAGCTCATTTGCATGGCAAGTACCATTTATTAAACCGTATTACCCTTTCCATAGTTTGGGAAAACTTGGCCTTTTCCTTTGTTAGTTGGCAAGAAGCAGTTCATTTGTTGCAGCAGGCAGAAAACAAAATCTGCACTACCATGTGTTGCACATCTGTGCAGAGCTATCTTTTCATATATGGTGGTTGAACAATTTTAGGGCGAGGCAGCAGCATCAGAGGCCATAACTGAAGCGATTCAATATAGAGATTGTGGGCAGTCCTAAATGAATAATTTTTCATTTCTAGTGAGCAGAATCTGCCAAGGAAGGGAGTGGGACAGGGGAAAAGGTGTAAGAAGAGAAATGCAAAGTAAATATCATAATACATCAGGGAGAGAAGTGAGGTGAGGCATTCTGGGACACTGAGGCAAAGAACAGCTATTCTATCACATAAACTGGAGAAAAATACAGAGACAGAAACACTTGTATGTGTGGAGAGTGGAAACAAAATCCATGCTGGATGGGTAACTGATTTTATTTTGTTCATCAGCTGCTTTATTCTTATGTTTCTTCCATGAACATGAAGCACATGATTATGAGCAGAACTTTCCAGTTTGCCATACCTTTCTCACAGTAAGGTTCCCCATCCTCCATGTGAAACAGGCTATTTCCAAATGGCATCTTACAAGCAGCACAGACAAAGCAACTTGTGTGCCAAGTCTGTCTTAGGGCATGCATCACTTCCTGTAAAACAAACAAACAACCAAAAATCTCCAGCAGAAGAGCAAGCCCTGCAACAACCTACTGGAGAACTAACACAAAGCAGAGATGCTCTACATTCTTCCCTTCTTTATCAGCCAATTCCCTTCCTCAAAAGAAATAATTATGACAGAAATTGGACTCCTTCTGGAAAGAAAGAGGAAATAGGACTGCAAACTTTCTAGAACAATGTGTTTGCCAAAATGAAACAATATGGTTCAGCCAGCTGTTTGTATCAACATGCCCAGTTGCTGTTGCAGGAGAGATTCTGCACAAAGATTCTGATTATTTTCTCCTTTGTTTTGTCACGACTAGTATGAACTCTTCAGTGCAAGAGTATGATTTGTTAAATAAATTTTAAAGAGTGATTTTCTCTCTAAGACCAAGAATAAGTGATTTAAGGCTGTTGTTTCAAAACAGTTTAGATAATGTAGCAATTTCTTTATGCTTCTTACAAGAACGATTTACAAACTAATGTGAAAATTTAAAAAAAAAAAGTTCTTAGATTTTAACTTATGTAAACTTAGTAAAAATAAGCCTGTGTGTCTGTTCCTAGACCATGTGTTTAGCACAAAAAACTCTAATTCTGCGCAACTGATGTTCTCTTAAACTGAGCGCCTTGATTTTATCAGCTTCTGACTTCTGTATGGAGCAATCTCTATCACTGCTTCATTCTTTTGTCATACAGAAGCCTTCCAAGCCCCAAAGCTGCTGTACTGAGCTCTAATGCACAGTTACCTGCTGATTTGTTCCATCTCACATATGCCCAGGATGATGTTTGACAGTGTATCTCTGTCAAACAGTCCAGATTTCAAAAGACCAGCTGTGTAACTGGTGGAAATTAACTTTGTTAACTTCAGTGAAAGAGCTCTGATTTATACCAGCTGAGAATCTCCATCCTATTTTTTGCTGCTTCCAGTTATATACATAGAGTCTGATTCTCTTCTAAAGATTACTTTTAATGTCCATTGATTATGACAAAATGGATCGAAGTCCTCTTCCATGCTTTTAATCCAGTGAATAGGCAAAATACTCTAATTTAGGTTTGCCATATATCTTATTAGAGAATCACCATTTGAGATTCATTAACTTCTGTTACCGTTTGCAAAGCAACTATCACTGATAAATAGGTTTGGATTCATTTATGAACGTCAGTGAAGTAAGAAGCAAAAAATAGCTTGAGAAATCTTAATAATATAAATAGAGGCAGCTGGCATCTTTGCTGCTTTCCTGATGAAAATCCATAATGGGAAACTGCTTTGTGCCAGCATTCATTAGGTAACTTAAGTCAGTACTCTGCTGTAAAATTACTCCTACTGCTGCAGTAGCAAATGAGACTTGGTTTGGTTGGAGCCAGAGACTTCACCATCAATGTCTGATGCTGCCATCCCTAATTGGCAGTTGCAGAGAAGAGCATCTAGTCTGTCAATGCAAACATTTAGACAGATGTCAAAGGTGACAGCTAAGCGGTGAAAAACCAATGTGGTGCTCCTGGCTTCCTCATTTAAGAGGATCATGTCATATATTCACTGCAAGTGCATGTCCAAATACACTGCTAAAATTAACTCATGGTATTCCAACCTCATCACCATCTAAGCTACATGGAGAGCAAATTTAGTTGTACATTTACTTGTACACGAGTACTTTAGCACAAAAGTGGCATGTATTTTTGGTTTTCTGGAATTCGGACTTTGTATTTGTTCTGTATTTTCTTAACTATAAGAAGCCAGCTGTGTTGGTAACTACCAGTGAGGTGCAGCAAGAGCAATGGGCCTCCTCCCAACATCACTGACTTCTCCACTGAAATTTTGACTAAGCCCTAAGTAAGAAATAAAAACCCAGTTCAAGTCTCTTACTATAAATATAAGGAACAGAGGGGTAAAAGTAACACAGTGTGTACTGGATAGCAAAAAACCACCTAGAAAGTGTTATTTACTTTACACACAGTGAGATAGTAACTGGATTACATATTATATGAGTTGAATAAACTACAGAAATATCCAAGAGTTCAGACAGATAAAAATTATTATAAAATAATATGTTTCTCATTCTGAAATAATCAACAAGCTGGGAAATAATTCTTAAACAGGAGGAAATAATAAAGTATCTACATTCATTGCTTACAGTCTAAACTATTTCACTACTTCAGTGATCCACACAGTTGCAGAAAGGGTTAATGTTGCTTTCTTACCCCCATGATCTTAGTGTGGCACCGGGAACAGGTTGGTGCAAAGAACTGTTCATAGCAGCGCTCACAGTACACACTATTCTGCTCCTCCACAAAGCACATATCAGCCAAGGATGTCTTGCAGTAGGCACAGTTGAATTCTTCTGGGTGCCAAGAGCGACCCATGGCTACCAGGAAAGGACCTCTGCAAACAATCATGGTTATCTTATTTGTATTGCAAAAAGACTGAAAGACCCTGATTGCAAACACCACGTACATGTGTAAGAAGCATTCTACTTGAACCATGAGGTGCACATTAAAAACATCCAGAAGCCTGAACAGAAATGGTCTTTTTCAAGATCATTACTCAAATACACTGCTAATTGGTTAAAACATTTCATTATTGCTTGGTCACATACACTGGATTTATAGAGAACTGTTGGAAAAATCATCAATTGTTTTCATATCTGCACAGCTATAACAGGCCTTTGTAAGCAGCCGCAAAGACAACAGGAAAAGGCCAAGGGTTGCAACATAGAAGATAATGCTACTATTTGAAAGCATCAAATAAAAAGCAACTTTCTAGACCTACACATCCACACCTCACAATAGCTCCTAAAGTCTCCTGCCTTCTTTTCATCTGAGAGCATGGCATATAGCATGTTCTGGAAATGTCAGACTATCAGATGACAACTTGCTCTTTCATTATGTGGAAGACACATTAAATTTGTTTTGGTGATTGACTCTTGACTGTAGTTAGATATAGAGATTATTACTGGACTATTTCCATTTCAGAATACATAAAGAGCAATAATCAGCATTTCCACATCACCAAACTAGCTCCTTTTAGTGGAGAAGACTGTCATTAAACATGGATTACTGAAAGTTGGATAGCAGTCCACAGGCTAACAGTAGGCACTGGTCCAGCACAATGAACTGGGAGAGGAGAAGGGAGAGGCATGCTATGAATCACTGGTAATAGAGTGTAGGCATTATCTTTCTCCAGACACAAAAGCAACAATTACATTTGGCTGCTGTTCCAAAATGATGCCTCGTTCCTTTTCTGTCCATAATCCCCTCTCTCTGCCCCCAGCCCCCCAACTCTCCTAATTAAGTTGTACAAACCTCCTTCAAAGGGTTACCTTAGGACCAGAAACCTGTTTAAAAAACAAGCAGTGATTTGCCACAGCATCCAGGAGACCAACAATTAACATGTATAACTTTGCAGTGATAAAAAGAGAACCGCACAATAACAAAATGAGCTCTGGAAATGTTAAATTAATGAGGCAGACAACAGACATCCCTGCTGGGTAATTTAACAGAGTCTTAGGCTCTGGTACTGTATATTAATGTACAATAACCAGTCTCTCTGATATTTTTTTTCTGCTTCATCCCCCTTGAAGACCTCATGCCCTTACCGAATGATGCTGTTGCAGTGCCCACAGAGAGGAGTTCGGCTGCTGGCTGGGAAACGCTCAGCCCTCTGAACTGTTCCCCGGGCTATTGGAGGCTGGGAAGAAGTTGGAACTGGAGATGGGTAAGCAGAGGTTGAGGCAGGAGATGGCACTGGAGCACCCCTTGGTAGGATGTGCTTTGTGACAGTGGTGGTGGATTTTCCAGGTGCAAATTTCTGGGAAAAGGAGTCATCTGTTACCCAGGGAGGGCGACTTGCAGGCTCCGTGTTGGCTGGGGTGTAGGAATGAACTGGTGCTGGTGCTGGTGCTGTTTTAAGTATCCCAAAAGAAACCAAGAAGTATTTTAAAGTCTTTTTCTTCTGATGGCAATACAGCAATACTTACCAAAGGGTACTCCATGACATACAAAAAGTAAAAGCTTCAGATGATACTTAATTATTGTCTGTTCCATTATTGCTCATTTATTCTGGAGTGAAGCCCAGGATATCAGCACAATTACTGACTTTTAATCCACATGCATCACAGAAGTCATTGCCTACTGGCTTTTACAGATTTTATGGAGACCATTTTCAAGGTCATCTCTTCATTTTCTAGTGGAATGGATATGACAATTCTGTGTTAATTTTGAAGATTGCCATATAATCTGTTTAAGGCAGGTTAAAAACAGAAAGGCCCGATCATATAATAAAGTTTTAGATGGAATTCCTCGGCATTTCCATAAGTTATGCTTAATTTTTGGTCTCTATATTCATTCAAATGCAACGTTTTCTACAGATGTCACTGTTATCTATCATTTGTGGGTTTATTCCTCGGTTTCTGAAGAAAAACAGGCTTGCACAGGGAACACAGAGATAGAGAGCACTGGAAGCAATACTGAGGGAGCCAATTCAGCTCACATGACCAGCAAGACAAAGCCAACAGCACTTAGAGAAAGGCCAGACTTCTGGTTATGACTGATCTCAGTTCAGTTCTTGGCTCTGCCACAGACTTCCTGTATAACTTTGAGCAAAGTGTAGTATCTCTCTGTCTCAGTTCCTGTGTATAAAATAGAATATTACACTTTCTTTTTTCTACCCTTTGACTATCAGATAAAATCTCCAGTGCAGACTGCCTCTTGTGTTTGTGTGCACCAGGCTCTAATCTTGGGTGGAGCTTTATCATGTAAAAATAAGCAGGAGCTACAGCCTGCACATACCAACAAGTTTTCCCATTGCCCTGCTCTGTTTGAAACATCAGATCTTGCATTATGTAGGACTGAAGTTACTGCCAAGTACAGGAGCACTAAAAGCAGTTTTCCTTTGCAAGGAAAACAAAGTGAATGACTGAAAAGAAGCTTGGACAGTTGAAGTGTTTTGCCCAAATGAGAGAGCACAGATTCAGGAACAGAAGCCAGTTCTGCAGCAATTTAGGCAGACATTCTGTGTAAGAGATCCCAGCGCCAATAAAATGATGACCAAATACAACATGGACAGTTTTAAGGGGCTTGCAGTTAAAAAGATATTTCAACCAAGAGAGTTCTGAGTGTAACACGGATCTTTCTGAATAATTAAGTGAGAAATTAAGTGGTGAGATTATGTTCTACTTAACACTCCTCCCTTAGCCCACATCCTGCTACATGGAATAACTTGCACTTGTTATTGGCAATTTGCAGGTGCTTAAATTGCATTTATATCAATGCACTACAATCACCCTCATGATCTTCTTTTTATCGAGGTCAGAGTTGAATCTAATGCATTTTCTTGATAAAACTTTCTTATTCTACAGTCTCAACAAGTTTCTGCCTCAAAAACTGTATCCCACCTTAGCTTGAGGCTTCCTTTTTTTTTTTCACTTGGAAAGGGTAAACAGTGTTTAAAGATTTCAGAACAGAGTTTATATGCAATCTCTTTAGATCCTGAGGCTGTTGCTATTTATGTATTACAGTATTAAGATAGGCAAAATTAGAAGGTAATATTTCATCTCTAATTGGTGAGTTCAAAAGGCTCCTACCTATGAGCCTCTCTAATTAAATAAGGTGACTTCTAGCTCACTTCATTTTGTGAAAGGATTCTCCCTCCCCCAAAAGTGAGCTGTGGTTCATGCAGAGGATGGCCATGTATCCCACAGAGGGCCTAACAAAATGGGCAGATATTCAAACCAAGAGTTCCAGAAAGGAAGAACAAATGCAGTCCAGGTACCATTTTTAGGATGTCTTTTTCTATTATTGTCTTTACTAAATTCAGCTTACAGGCTCTTTGTTTGTCCTTTTTTTTTCTTCCTTAATGTCACAGTGTTGGTGTTCTATTTTTCCAGTTTGTTTATTCCAACCAATACAGACTGAATATGATTTATCTGGGTTCAGATTAATCTAGACCCCTTTGAAGGATACCCACTGGGGAAAAGTCTTTGTCTTTCATTCTCTCTACCTTCTCTTTATTTTTACTCTGTCTTTTCTACTTGCTGCAGTAAAATAAAGCAACTAAATAGGATTTTTTTTTCCAGTTACTGAAAGAAAGTACCAGAGGAATTATTGCAAAATGACAAATATTGGGTGTTTGCAACTGGTCTGAGTTCTCTTTTCAGCTGTTGTAATTTAATTTTACAGGCTTGTTTTCTTACAATACATTTTCCCCCTGTGAACAAGCTGCAACTAGTATTGATTTAAAATAGTGTCATTGCAATGTATTGGAAAGATTTCACTTACTTTGAGATTTTGGCAGTTGTTATTAAGAAGGCATTATTATCTTATTATCTTAGAACTATATCCCTAAGCTTATTTGAACAACTTTTTTGTCTTAGTAGCTACTGCCATACACATTCACCTTGCTTGTTTATATATTTCCAAGTCTTTCAGCATATATGCAGCAGAAAAAACGGGCTGTTTGCTGCTGAAAAAGTACTAAGATTCAGTATATCAGAGAATATATTCTTAAAATATCAGTATTGTATGAGCTGACCACTACCTGTTAAAAAATTAATACTTTAAATAATTCAGTGAACTAACCTCTATCACCCTGTTTCTCTCACCCCTCAGATTCTCTTAGAGAAGGAAAGAATGAATGGGATTATTTTTATCCTGAGAGAATGGCAGGAGAAAAGGTCTCTTAGCAGCAGCAGGAACAAGCCAATTCTTTGCTTCCAGGGAATTTGGAATTCTCCCCATCAATGTAGTATCAATGGCTATTTTCCCTCCAGACAAAAAGATATGTTACCAAAGACTCATTTAGTAAAGATTTATGTAGTCTCAAATGCTTTAGTCATAGACCAGCTCACATTGTGAGAACAATTTTCCTTTTTTTTTTTTCTTTGTTAGTAGATGACATAAGTTATTCTTTATTATTTTCAGTAACAAATTAAATTCATAACCACAACTGATTTGGCTTGTTCCAGACTTAGTGGCCACATCCTTGAAGCTCAAAGTCTTCCTGTACACTGTTACAGAATACAGTAGATGACAGACAGAGCAGATGATGCTTTATAAGGAGACACTATTCTTATTCAGAAGAATTAAAAATGAAATTATATGTAGGCTGCTGTTTTAGTAATGAAAGTTCATTAAGGTCTGTGGGAATCTGTCTACCAATTTCTAAAGGAGCAGATCAGGCCTTTATGCTTGACCACTTTGCATCCACGAGTAGTCCTATTTGGACGTGGGGATTCAAAAGGAAAGATCTGCTTTCTTACACTTAGGTATCATGTTACTTTGTGACACAAAACTGGCGTTTGAGTTCCTTGGAATATGAGAAAGAGCTATCCCAGTCTGGGAAAGTCAAGGGGAAAGGAATACACAGGGATACCCTGCCATCTAGTGGACCTTGTTCAGAAGAGACGTCTATACGCCTTTTAAAAATGAAATTTTAAAGGGTCATGAAATTTAGGGAAAAGATTTTAGCGTTCACAGCTTTTCCTATAGGAAGAAAACAAAGATTTTTGGCAGCAGAAAATTCCCACGTGAGTCAAAGTTTAGACCTCCTGATTACTCCCATCTGAGCCAGATACTTAATGCAGTTTCATTTTGAGGTTTCTTTCAGTGTAAACAAGATTTAGCCCTTTTCTGTTTTGGTTTTTTTTTTGTTTGTTTGTTTGTTTGTTTTTTCCCCCAATCTGAGACAGATTAAAAGAGTCTTGTAAATCCTTCTAGTGACTAAATCAGGTTTCTTCCTATTGCATACATGGGCCTGTTGGTGGGTGTTGTAATCTGGAAGCTGGTGCCCCACATTTTAAGGGAAGCCGGTCATGTCACTCCCATGGACACTGATGGCTGCATAAAGACATTCCACTTCTAATTTCTACACTGCAAATTCTCCCAGCAACCTCCACTATTTCAGCCTTTTCACAAAAGGATTCACAAAAATAGATCATTTGTTAAAGTGAGAGTGCAGTTATTGCAAAAGCCTGAGTTTGCACTTAGGAAGAAAAAGGTGTATTTTCTGACGTATGTCATAAATTGAGAACAGCCAATCCTCTCAGATTGAGGTTGCATTTTACACTGCAGAACAGAATTTATATGTGTTGACAAAGCTGGGTGAGGAAGTATTTTAACTGTCTGGATGGTTTGTTTCTAAGTACTATTCATCTTTCAGGTCTGTGGCAGAAAATGCCATTTCCTCCATTTCTTCCCAAGTGGCAATTTCCCATTTGCTCAGGACTGCCACTGTCTCCAGGGCCAAGTCATGTTCCAAAAACAGTGTGAAGTGCTACTACATCAAATACAAAAAACTTAAAAAAGGTGTCAAAACAAAACCCAAATATCTTCAATAAAATATCCATCTGGAATCCCTTTTGCACCCGAGTCACAGAATCACAGAATATCCAAAGTTGGAAGGGACCCACAGTGACCTTGGTGTTCACTTATGAAAGTATTTCAGAATCCTTCACTGGATATTTCAAACTCCTGAACAATACAGGCAGACTTACCCTTTCTTTATCTGCCACCTACTAAAGCTTTTATTAGGAGGGAATAGGGCTCAAAATCAGCAATATAAGGAACTTCAAAATAAAACCAGCAATGTAAGGAAGTGCAAAGAAGGTGCCCGACCCAGGGGAAAACAAAAGGATTGCCTCTTATTTCAAGTTGAGTTCAACAGCCAGCTTTTTCTTTAACAGATACAGCTAATAATTGCAAATAGCTGCAGATTTATTTCTGTGGCAGGTCTGTTTTTGAGAACTGGAGTTCACACTTCCCCCAGATGAGCATGGGGTTTAGTATCAATCAGTGTATTTAGGAGATTTTTTGACTTGCCATAGTTTTGGCATTATTGAAATAAATCCTGTGTCTTCACCTTTCCTTTTACAAGTCAAAAATAGTAACATTTGCCTTCAGTGAGAACATGGTATATGCTGACACACTTAACCAAAAGCAAATGAGAAAAAACTGAAGGTTTATTTACTTGGAGATCCTTAAAAACCTTATGATAGCTCTTTTCTAACTTGGCTTTTTCCACCTTTATGTCTCAAATATAAAGATCAATCAATTGATTTGTCTAGCTGCTTTATGTCTAAGTAAAATTTCTACATTTGTTTAATTTCAGTAGATCCAGAGATAGACCATTACAGAATATAGAGTTTAGGACTCTTAGAATTCTTGGCCTTTTCATATTTACTTGACTGTCAAGATATAAATCAACTTTTTAGTTCTCTTGCTAAGATCAGAAAAACCTTAAATTTGAAACAGAACTGTATTTAGACTTATATCACTGCCTCATTTAATTTGTTCATTTTGAAGGTTCACATTTTGGTCATCAATGGCTTTAGAAGTTCACTCCATTTGTAACACATTAATACAAAGGCAATTAAAATAATATCAAGGAGCATATTTTTCACATGAATGACTAACCAAATATATTCCTTCAGTTACCAGACCTCTGGAAAATGGAAGCAAAATATTATGAAGTACATGAATACGTTATTCTTTATTTCAAATGTAAGCCTGAGTTTGAGAAGTTCAATATATGGCCTTATCTATTTTGCAAATACATTCTACTCAAGATAACTCCACTTATTTTATCTTATTCCTGAATTGTGCATTCTTCAGCTAGCTTATCAATTCTGTAGTGTCACTGGGCTCCTAACTGTGTTATTTTCCAGTTGTATTTCTTCTGCAAAATCAGGCTACACATATTTTATTACAGACTTTCCCCTTGCTTTCATTCTTTCTCCTCTATTTGTTCCACATTTTACCTCTGAAGCAGAATACAACAAAATCCTTGACCTTCAGATAATTTGAACCAAAACTAGCAGCTAGCAGCATTTAGTCCCATGTTTATAAATATTTTCTGATACATCTGTGTCCTATTGCAAAATGTGCATTCTTTGCATTTTCTTTCTCTGAAAGAAATGTGTGTGCATTTTTTTTCTGGATCCTTTCAGTACTTTGAAGGCACCTTACCTGGCTGGTAGACAGAGGGCTTTATGCTGGCAGTAGTAACAACTCTTGGTTTTGAAGTACCAGAAGCAGCAGGACTTTCACCGTAGCTTCCAGAAACTGGTATTGGTGTATATGACTGGCTTGTGTTTCTAAAAGCAAAATGTAGGTGTGAACAACTTTATAAACAGCAAAAGTTACTGCTAAAGAAGTAACAGATCTGGCAGCAGTCCAAAGCACTCCAAGAGGAACAGTCCGTGAGAGCTACAGAGAGAATACTGTGAGATTCATCAGTCTCTATCACTGCTAAGAAAGGCTGGGACAATTGTATTAGCTGAATAAGGATTTTAAATAATGCCAATTTGCTCTTGCTGTCACAGAAAATAGCTTACTGAGGGAATATGACAAATTTGGAACTCTCAGTTTAACAAGGGATCAGACTTCAGGAACCTGCCTACAAAATGTCTGTTTTCTGTTCCTCTACAAACAAAAAGGCCCGGTCTTGTATAAGATAAATCAGTGAGAGATATCTTGACTTAAGAATACACTGGCTCAGCACAATTACTACTACTACAAATGCTAACTATATGTGTTGTACTCCTTTCAAAAATATCGTAGTGACCTTTAAAAAAAATTTCTAAAAGTAATTCTTTTCCCCATTTAGACTGAAACCACAATTTATGTTAATTTTCCCAATGTTCAGGTTCAGCCTACCCAAAAAACACACGATAGGCAATATTATGATGCAATTTCTGCATTCCTAGATTAAAAACATTTGCTCAGAATTCCAAACATCCATAAGAAACAGTTCTTCTCTATTTCATGGCTTGGACAGTGATTCTCAGTTTGAATACAATAACACATTGAAATATATCCCTCTTCTATTTGCCTTGGGATGATTCTGTTTGTACTGTCTGTGCTTCATAGACCACTAAAAGAGCATCATAATCAAAGCAAGCAAGAGAGAAGAAAGAAGTACAAGGAGGGGAAGCAACAGAGACCCAGATGTGTGCAGTAAAAAGAACCATTCACTACAGAACATTGCTTTTACTCACCCCAAAAACACAGTTTTACTTTCTTTTTCCTTTCAGTTTCTCGTGTGAACCACATCCCTATCCATCTGTGCTGACAGTTTAGGAGTTATTTACACAGTGGCTTTTTCTATAGGAAAACATTTGTCAACACATGAAAACAAGTGTCCAGCTCTGCCAAACTCTTGGTCCATCTTGACTTTTACTTTCTTTAACAGTGGAAACAGATGCCGTCTGGAGAAAACACGTTCTAATTTTATGTGGCAAACCCAGCAAATTTCCTCCAGTACAGGTAAAAACCAAACATTCTGACAAACGGAAACTTCTGATTTTTAATTTTGAACAAAATAAACCTATGCTCACAATAGCTTTTTGCTGCTCTGACAGTACTGCTACTATAGATCTAGTTTGCATAGCATTGCTGCCTCAGGCTAATTTATTTTGTCTATTTAGCAAGACCTAGAAACTTAGCTATTGCTACAATGGCAATAGTTAATTATTTCTGTACCTACTCTAGGGCTTAGGGCTGGATTTGGGTCCACTATACCATGAGTGAACAGGAATCTCCAAGATAAACTGTTTTAGGGGGTTTGTATTCACTGTAAGTTCTGTTGTGAATTGTGCTGTGATTTTGTAACAGCCAAAGCTGTCGTAAGCACAGTAATACTTTTTATTTTCCCTTCTTACCATCTATTTCCTGTTGCTACCTCCCCATCTGTGGTGCCTAAGAACACACTGTACTTGGGGTCAGTGGACAGAGGGTCATTGCTGCTACCATAGCACAGACAGGGAGATGTACACTGCAGGCACACTGGATCCACACACAGCTTTCAACATGCCATTACCTTCACACATGATCTAAAGAATTTTCCTTGGTTTAAAATCTACTATTCAAGGTAAACCAGACAGATCAGTATTTACAATGTGGATTAAAAGATGTTAAATCACGTGTCATACAGCCTTAATCTGAAGATGTCATACAGTCAGGAAAGTCTACTCCCAAATGCACAGATCCATTGGTTGGAAAGACTCATTTGAATCTCCCTCAGTGCACAAAATACATAAAGAAGTTCCGAGCCAGATCAGTGATACTTAGACTGTCATGAAGAAAAAGGGTTATTCAAAATTCAAGTGTTTCCCAAATGTAATAGCAGAGTGAAACCATGCCACTGGATTTCCTTCTATGGTCAAGAGAAATGAAGCTGAAAAACAAAACCACACACAAACACCCACGCGTTCATAGTACCAAAATCATAGCAAAATTAAAAGAAGTATTAAACTCTTTTAGATGTTTATGATGCATATTAAATACGGTAAGAAAGATAAAAAGGCTTGTCAAAGAGAAATAAAGTGTTACACTACATCATTAAGGGTTTTAGTGAAGTTAAAAGATTTATCAGAATTTCTGCTGAAGAGAAGGAAACGGCGTGTGATTAAAAGAAAGAAAAAAAAGTAAAAAGAAAGAAGGAAATTAAGAAAAAATAAAAAGATGTCCTAAGGACCAAAGATGCTTTAATGGATCAGGAAGCACTGGCATCTCGAAAAGCAGTGAAAGCAACCTTACTGAATTTATCTGTAGCAGTCAATGGCAGGTGACAGGCAGCGAATTAAATACCGGCTCTGAAAACTATTAGTTGTCAGAAAAAAAAGAGTAAATTTCTACACAGATCATTTTTATGTTAACGCTTTACTAGATGCTTACTAGCAGCAATAAACTGGTTTGTTAAGTGCATTTAAGGTAGAGTAGCTGCACAAAATATTTTTATACCTCTTCTGTGACTGGTAGCTGATGGAGGTGGAAGAATGCCGGTTGAAACTAAAATGAGACAAAAGTTGTATTTGAAAAAATATACAAAAAAATTTGGGATATCTTCTCCTACCATAAATTTCCTATGAATAAGAGGTGCTCTTAAGTGCTAAAGTAAACAACATGTACATATTTATATGAATAAGAGGTGCTCTTAAGTGCTAAAGAAACCAACATGTACATATTTATAATCATATAAGATTGGCATTACATTACATTTTCTTTTCTCATTTAAAGCTAGGAATCACAGTGAAACCTGAATAATGGTAACATAAGTAAAGGAGGTTAGTATATTGCTCCCTAAGCCACTCTCATCAGGTCTACTTGTTATTTGGTTGTGGAATTTCAGTTCAACCACTGGACTGTTGGATTTGACATTCACCATTTATTTGTATTAGCAAGAAAAATAAGTATGAGGGATTTTTTTTGTCATCGTCATAAGCTTAAATTGCAGCAAATCTTAGAAGCAAACCCTGAATGAACTAAAGGCCAAAGATAGGTACGTTTCCAGCTTAGGAGGCACCTGGGAGAACCCCATGGAAAGGACAGGCTGGAGTAGCTGAAGCAAAAACCCATCACGTTCAACTTTGCCCTTGCAGAACCATTCTACTGTTACAGAGTTGTAGATAAACAGGTAGATTTTTTTTTTTCTTGGGGAAACAGCATCATTTCAGAACATAAATGAGTCATTTACGCAAATACAGGAAGTACTTAAAAGCCTGCACAATGTTTGGTGTGAGAAACAAGAGGATTCAGAACGAACACAGCTCCTGTCTAAGTGCAGAGCAGTGCAGGACTACATGGCATCAACCCCATCCTGTGGGAGCACAGCCCACATTTGCCAGAATTACCAGAAGCCTATCACATGTCAGATATTTTCCTAACTTCTGGAGAAGTTTTTCTTCCCTTTACCACAGACACAGTGCTTGGATTAGAATCCCAGGATCAGAAGCGATACCTTCCTTAAAACCATAATCGTAACTCTTTCTACTGTTCCTCCTGGTTTTGTATTCCCAGAGTTCTGCCTCATGAGGTGCCCTGCTTCAACCCTCCAGATGGAATAACAGATGCATAAAGAGCTTCAGGTTTATTTAAAACCCTCCTGCTATGCTTTGTTCTTCGTAAGCAAGATCATAAGTGAAAGTCAGATAACATTTCAGATGTAAAAGTAAGAGTAACACAGTCGATTAAGGATTAATGACTTCAAACATTCCTCTTTAAGAGCATTAGAAAGATTTTACTCAGGTTAGGGGTTATGCATATGGCTTTGCTCACAGAAGCAAAATTACTATAGAACTGGATCTACCAAAGTTTGAAATCATATTCAAATAGTTAAGGATATTAAGATATCAAGAAATCCTTCTGCATTTTCTTGGTGGACCTTTTTCAGCCATCTAGAAGGAACAAAAACCAACCCAAACACTGGAACAATGGTGGTAAAATCTTAGCCTCATCTTCCTGAGAATGTTTTACAGGATAGGGACAGTATTGTAACTAAGGTCATCCATATTTTATTCTGGAATAAAATTATATGAAATGCTCAGTGCTTCTCTGGTGTACGTGAAGTCGAAACTGGATTTTTAAGTCCATATTTTGGTATGCTAAAGCATTGTTTAATTTCTAAATGAACACTATCAGATGCTCAAAAATTTGACTTATACATTTATTTAGAAGACAGTTTTGGTCCCTTGTGTTTGAATACAGTAGCTATAACATACAACCATTTTAAAAACAAACATGGAAGTAGTGCACAAAGATAAAGAACCTAATTCAGCTGCAACACAGCCCTCCAAAACCAACCAACCAAACTGAGTTTGCTCCTTGTACCTGATAATCAGGGAACCAAATTTTTACAAGCCCTACAAGTTTCTGATTTGCCTTTATGTCCCAAGGCTTGCTGAAGCTCAGACAGTGACATCTGCCTGTTGCTAACAGCTTGAAGTGTATGTCAGCATCAAACCTCGTGTCATCCATTGGCAGTAAGATTTCAGGGCAGCAGCATATGAAGTTGATGTGCTGCAGATCTGAAGTCTTTGACTTAAATCATTGCCAGGCACAAACAAGAGGTTTTAGTGGTCCGATTAAAGCACTGCTGTTTCAAAAGGACAGCGATTTTTCATAGATTCACAGAATCTTTCAGGTTGGAAGAGAGCTCAGGAAGAGTCTTATCTAACCTCCTGCTGGAAAGCAAGGCCAGCTCTGAGGTCAGATGAGGTTGCTCCATGTTTTATCCAGTGATGTCTTGAAAATCTTCAAGAATGGAGAAACAGCCTCCCCAGACAACCCATTTCCTTTCAAAGGGGCAGGAAAGGGGAAAATGGTCCATGTCAATCTAATGCAGGAAATTTACTTCTAATTCAAATGTCTTAATATCTCAAGGTGATCTTTTTATCCTCATGACTCATGAAAATTGTGTTTCACACCAATTAGTCCATATCGATACATAAACACAAATGAATTTACAGTTTTAAGGCCTCACACTGCTTCCCTTCTCCCCATTAAGTGGATATGAAATTAAAGGGAAATTAAAAATGCTCAATCAAGAAATACACTAGCTCTAAGACAGTCATGCCAGGAGTGACAGCAAATACTGGTTATCTTTATATTAATTTATTAGCTGTTTATATGTAAAGTATACATAGTTGTTGCTTAATTTGTCCCTGCCTATTGCAGGGGTATTGAAACTAGATGATTATAAGGTCCCTCCCAGCCCAAACCTTTCTATGATTCTATGATTTCCAAGACAGCAATGAAAACATAGCTCTTATGGAAGATTTATAGGAGTCCTAAGATGTAGAGTGGTGAAATGTGAATAGGTGTGCTCTGTCTGGCCAGAGCAGTCACCAAAGCCTCAATTTAATTTACCTGAGTATAAGAGGCTTTTAACTGCCTCCTACAAAAACTATGTAGAACACTTTTTTCACAGAGATATGTGATCATTCCAACTGACTAAAAGAGACTTGTTAGTAAAGCAAACAGTGGATTAAATACTTCTGGTGACATTTAAGAGTCTAATTGTACCAGAAGATTGAATGAAAAAGTGTTAGGTATTACTTCTGCAAAGCACAGTACTCTCCTTGGTGACAAGCAATATGGCAAGAGCAAACAGCCTCAAGTTGGCCAGGAGAAGTTCAGGTTGGGTATTAGGAAAAAAATTTCTTCACTAAAACGTCTATCAAGCATTGGAACAGGCTGCCTGGAAAAGTGGTGGAGTCATCAGTCCTGAAGGTATTTAAAAGATGTGTAGATGTGGAACTTAGGGATGTGGTTAATGGTGGACTTGGCAGTGCTGGGTTAACAGTTGATCTTAGAGGTTCTTAAACAATTCTATGATTCTCATGATGTAAAAATTAGGTCCTTGTAATGGATACCTCTAAATAGCTCATCACTTTGGAATTTTGAAAATTCATACATAAAACTAGAAGTCAATGGCAGTAAACACCCCTGCATCTGTTTTACCTTCTATTCCCAGTAACATTCTGGTGACATTCACCAGCTCCTTGAAACTAGTTATGATTAGTGTACTTCCACTCAAATAAATGGAATTACATCAGCAGTTAATTTTATTTCTTATGTTTTATCAGCTCCATACGGGAATTATCTTCCCCTATGTAATTCCCACGGCTGTAAACAGACACGTTTACATTCTAAAACTGAAAACTCTCCTGTTGTGTTCTGTAGCTGTTTCATTTTTGCATTGGTTTCAGTGATGTGAAGCCAATCAAAAGGCTTTCAAGTACTACCTATGCACAGCACTGAACTGCCATTTTCTATGATTTTCTGAGAAAGATCATTATACTTGATGTGAAGCCATCAAACTTGCACACTTTGTTCATTCCAAACACCCCCTTTGGGTGATTCCTAACTATCTTCTTATGTAAAGATAAGAGGGACATGGATAATTACAATCTCAAAAGCCTTGCTAGTTTTTTGTTATTTCTGAAGACTGTTCAAATGAATCTTAAAATCTGCTGTTTTCTCCTCTGTTAGTTTTGTCAAAGTGTTAATGAAAGCAGTGAAAAGGCTTAGAAGTGAGGCAGTACAGCAGCATCCTCTTTTTCTAGTGAGAGAAGCTACCTTTCCCTGTCACTGGTCTTTCACTAGTCATGATTAAGAGCATAATAAAAGGTTTGTGATCCCTGTGATCCTATGTTTTCACCAAGAAAAAAAAAAAGGTCCATCATTCCCACCCAGTGTAACTAGACAAATACTTTGATTTTAGGATGGCAAAAGCAGCACAAAGCAACCAACTGAAATACCTTTGTTCCAAAAGGACCTTTTGGCCACATATCCTATATCTAAAACTTAGTTGTTTCCCCGCTCGGTTTTCATGTGAAAGATAAGGAAGGAGGCTACTGCTTCAAACACATCGTGCTTTCAACAGTCTCTGCCAAGTCAATCTCTTAAGAAACTGAAAACCTTAAATCAGAGAGCATAACACAAATCAAACCAAATAAAGTTAAGAGAGCTTTACAGATATACCTAGACTGAGATGAGATAGCAGATGAAATAGTGGAAGCTGCTAATGACATGTTCTTGGACCCATGGAAAGGCTTAGGCTGTGAAAGAGAGCTGGGGGCTGCAAATACTCTGCAGAAGACACAGTAAAAGCATGAAAGCATGAACAAAATGATTGAACAGGGACAAAAATCGTGACATCACAACCAAGCTCTGTCGGAGTTCAGATACAGGAGGACTGCTGCATAGTTACCAGGAACAGGTTTTCTGTAGCATACATCTGCAGAGTTACAGAATAGCACAACCAAGCACATTCCTACAGAACACAAGACAAAATGCACACATTATGTAAAAATCTTAAATCCAGACTCTACTGATAACTAAGAAAGACAGTATTACAGGACAGGACTTTGTCAATGATACATGCTTTTATCTGCAAGATCTGAAGATGTTTGAGTCCGAATATAAGATAAAAATTTTAATATGCAAACAGTACCAGACAGAAGATTCTGATATTTAAAACAGAAGTAATTGGAATGATTAGTTTTGTAGAGGCATTTTTTTGTTTGAAGCATATACTAGTTAATCCATTTTCTTCATCCTACAATTTCAACTGAGGAATAAAAGTTACTTAAACTTTATCATTATTTCACGTGAAAGTGCCTTACAGCCCAGTTCTGAATCTTAAAATCTGCATAATACCTTACTCAAACTTCCTCTACTGGCTGATTGATTTTCTTGCACTGGAATAAAAACACTGGATCCTGGTAGGTCACAATTAGGTAAAAACTGACCAAAGTGAGAAACTAAGTTCTTTCCCAAATCTTCCTTTGCGAAGACTGGCCATGAACTTATATAATGCAAGTCAACTTGCAAAACGTAATCAAGAAGTAGAGTCAAGAGAACATCTCCAATTCCATTTATACACATTTGAGACAACTGGCTACAACTGAGGTCTTAGTTAAAGTAGTTTACATTACTGGAAGTGTGCTTTTCCTTGGCTTTGTAAAGCATGCTAAAACATACATCTTTTCAGAATATTCATGTAGCAAACCCCAAAGATAAAAGAATAATATGCACCAAAGGAATTCACTCTTACTATCTCTAAAATTACTGTAACATGAGTGACAGTTGTATAAATCCCACAGGTTTCCTCACATGATGTCTGACAGCTTTTAATATACAACTGTAACTCCCACTGTACTACAAGTGTTACAAGTGCTCACCTCCTTGAAACTCACTTGAGCTCTAAGGCTAATTCTCATTAGAGAAAAAATATTAGATAAATCTAATAGAAATTACTTGATTTAACTTACAGAGCAAGTCAATCATCAAATGTCCACCATGTTTTACTGATATCTGCTACGATAGGCTGAGCTCAACCACGTGAGTAAATGACTTCTTTTAATTTTCCTTTTCATGTCCTACTGCAGAAAGACTATTAAAAGAACCTTCATTCACATTATTAAAAGAATCTCCACTCACTGTAACTACTATGAGGAGTTGTTTTGGCTTTATTACAAGTGATGAAAAAACACCTCTAGTTTTAACCCTTGACTTGCTTTCTGAAAACAAAGTTATATTTTTGGAGCAGTTTTATTTTGCAAATGCTTTGCAAACATGAACAACATACCTCAAAAAAAAACAACAAAAAACCAAACAAATAACCAAAACAAAACACCAAAATATATAAAAGCATATAGAACAGGTTACAGCTTTTCATACCACATTCTGAAGTGAAGAATGTGTATGCAGCATTTCCAGAGCCATATGGGGGGATAAAGCAATGAAGCATTACCTTTGGAAGGAGGAGGAGAACGACTCCTGCACGACTGAGGTGGTTGCTGGTGGTGTCATCAGGCTGGCTGGATTTTGAGCAGCAGTAGCAGGCTGAGGTGCTGAAGCGTGCGGTGCAGGAGCAGCAGAAGTGGTAGACACCGGAGCATGCTCGACAGGGGTACTAATTAGACTTAAATTAAATAAAACAAGAAGCATCTTAAGAAGGCACACATTTAAATGTAGAGCACAAACTCTACTATGTTTGAACCTGCAAACATAGTAGCAGGCTGGGTTACTGAGGGAAAAGCACAATTATGCAAAGAAAAAAAAGGCATTTATTCAGCCTTTTCCGCTGTGCAGTTAAGACTGGAATGCAGTTTTGGTCCTGCTTGACTGAAATTTATCCCAGGTGTTACACAGCACTTTAGTCCTGCTCCCACTGAAGCCTGTGGTAGGAAATGTGGCATGGAGGACTTAAATGGCTGCAAAGAGCCTGTCACAAATTCTTTGAGCTTGGATAATTTTCATCCAATATTTACTCCTGGAACTGAAGTTTATATTAGCGTAAATTTTTTAATTAGATGAAGAAAAGCAATTTAAAGGGTATTATCACAGTCCTGTGCCAGCAGGTTTCCTGGAAATTCTGATAGTCTAGAAATCCAGTCAGCACAATTTTCTGTTGAGTTCCATCTGTTCTGTTGTTGTGCAACCTGGGTAGTGGAAAGATGTTTAAAAGGAGTCCCTTCATCTCTGACCTGAATTCACCTTACATTACACCGCCCAACCCAAATAACAATGAGATGCCCCTTCAAACACAGAATAATATATAAAATACAAGGGGATGATTTTAAAATCACTTGGGTGATGAGCATGAGTTCTTATCCTTGTGGCCCTCTTGAACTATTGCGGCACAGATTACTTGGAGCAAAGGAATATTAATTTTCTTCATTTTTTCTTTATTTGATTGCAAATAAAAATGAGTTGAAATTAATAATAATAATCTAGTCTGGCATCCTGTGGCCATTTTAGTAACCTACTGAACTACCAGTGTCTTTCATCACCCAGTCCTTATGAACATACTTCAGCCTGAATTACTCATTTCTTACAGAAAGACAAATAGAGCCAAGTTATCAGACAGCTTTGCAACATAGTTTAGTTAAAGTCATCCACTAAGAAAAGAACCAATCTTTTGGAAGGTTCAGTTTATTGTCTTCCCTTAGCTCTTACATGAAATGGAAAAAAAAAAAAACCAAAATAAAATCACTGAAAACATTCAAGTTATTTGATGACTGTTTCACTGAACTTAATATCAACAGAATAATAATATTAATAATATGTCCATTCATAATTTTCTTGTCAATAAACCTAATAAAAATAATTTAAAGCAATTCAAAATTTAAAAAGGAGAAAGAAGAAAAGAGAAAAACTTCATTATTTTGTGTTTAGGCAGATTTTAGTGTGGATCTTATTATTATCCACAGAACAAATAAGCCACTGAAAAATAACAAATTGCAACACTATTGTGGGGCAGAAACTTTGATGACAATATAAGCATATGTCCCCTAGGCATAAGGGATGTTTTTCTTGATGCTGTAGATTCATTTTCTTTAGTAGTTATCCAAATACATACTTTTTTTTTTTTTTTAATCAGAGCATTACTGTACATAGTTGTCTTGTCCATGAGCAGCGGCCTAAGAAAATTACGGATATATTTATACATCTTTAGACCCAACTCAGAAGCATATTGCCACATCTCTGTGTTCTTACAAATCACTCCTATCAGGGTGATGGAATTCTGTGCTTCTCTTGCACAAGGTACAAAATGCCCCAAATACTTGTTCCCAAGCACAGTAAGTATCAAATAACAAAAGAAAGCTTACAGTTCCACTACTGTTTCTCAGCCAACCTTAGCCCTCAAGCATTCTCTCAGCACTTTTTCCTTAGCAGATTTACCATCCATTGTGCAAATTTTCTTTGTTTCAGCCATTCTACCTCATATTTTCTTTTTGCTTCTCTCAAAAGCGCTGACTTGGCAAGTTACACTCCTGAGGACCTAGAGTGAGTGCTTGGTACTTCAGAATTTGTGATACCCCTTGTTGTTAAAGGGACTGTCCCATTTCCCCTGTTCTTGTCCTCTTCTTGTACAGCTCAGTAGCCTAATGATGGTGTCTTAATTATTTTCTGTTTGATTAGCTGCCACAGAAGCGTGGTTGTTACACCCATAAATTTCAAAGTAGAATGTAACCCACAACAAAAAATCAGTATTTTCTCCCTTATGAATTTCATCTGCAATTATGTACCTAAGAAATGAGATCCCAAAAATACCCAGTTTGCAATTCTGGGTTTCAAATCATGACACCAAGTTTTGCAACTGTTTTGCAAAAGTTTGCCCATCGTAACATGCAGTTGAAATTCAGGTCAGTTTTTCCACCTTGATGCATTTTATGATGCAAATTCTTCCAATTAACAAATAGACTATCAATTACAAAGCCTGTGCAGCAGAGTAGCTGAATATGATCCATCACAGCTATGGGTCACAGGAGAGTCTGTTACTGAGTTTCAATACCTACAGGATTTTTTTTTCCCCCTGTGCCACAGTGGGTACTGGGATTATCACATTAAAAGGTGTGGAGTCACAATTTAGTACTTACATGTCTTTGATCTGGCAAACAGGAAAGGAGTGAAACTATGCTGCACATAAAAATGGAACTTCATATATGTCTTAAAAACAAACACAAACTAGGATTCCACCTATTTTGTCTATTTGCACTGATGTCAAAGGGAATTTGCTACAGATTTCAAAAGATTCATGACTTCCTACTTTGAAGAGAAGAAAACAGTGAACTTACTTAATTGTAACACTCTCCAAAACGTTAATCAAAATACATATTCAGTGATATATATTGAAAAGAAAGTAAAAAATCCCAAAAACCTGTATGTGAGGACAAGGACCTGTGTGGAGACAGATTTGAATGGAACAACCCATGTAAACAAAATAAATGCAAATATACTGAAGTACCTTTTATAGTTTAAAGAAAATACGAACAGATTTTATCTTGCATGGTGTTTGCAATATTTCTTTTTATATGGTTAAAGTGTTAGGGGCTTGATTGCCTTCCTTCATGGTAGAATATATTAATTAACACACCAAGGAATTGGAATAAATATAAATGAAGTAGATATAACCTTAAAAATCAGGGTGATTTTGTTCCATAAATGATATGCAGTTGGTAACACTCTCAACTCAGCTTTTAGAAAGATCTGAAGACTAAATTGACTGGTTTTAATTTAACAACTATAAATTTTAAATAAATATTTAGATAGTCAAATAAAACAACCTTTTTTTTCCTCAAGATTGCCTACTTTCTAGATTTTCAGTCTGATCTTTTTAGTTCTTCAAGTGCAGCAGAATTTTAAGAACTGATAAATGTGAGTGCTGCTTTATAAAATAGATAATATATTGCAACAGCTTCACTATTACATGTTACAGATGAGCTTTCGGTTGGTTGGTTGGTTTTTAAATGCAGTCATTCTGTAGATTTTAGATCTTTACAGTACTTTGTATTTTAAGGAAAATCAAAGAAAATCGAAAAAAATCAAACATCTTCATATTTGTGGTAACAAACATAAAAGTAAGTTAGGTGGATGAAAACAAACACACATCTCTTCTCAGCTGATTTTCACTCATGAAAAGGAACACAGATCAGTAGAGGTTAAGAGGATAATAATGGTTAACAACCATAATGAGAAAACACAGCAACAAATGCACTTTAAGATTTAGAAAAAATAAGTGCAGATTATACTTCTTTCTCTCAGTAAAGTCCTAAGTTCTGAGACTTTCTGTCCAAATAACAATCAAGTGGATTATTAAAGCAGTACTTAGTCTCCTTTATGTAATGCATGAAGGTTTCTTTGGTTTCTAATCCTCCAACATATCACATGTAAAAAATTGAATATACAGGAAATAAAAATTAAAATGGATAGGGAAAAAAAAATCTCTTATTGTAGCATTTGTAGAAAAAAGTGCCTGAGAATATGGTTAGAGAAAGCCATAACATGGAAGAGTCTTACATTTGAATATGGGAATGGTTGTAGAAATACAGTCAAAATAGAGAAATATCAGCTGCTGTTTCTCTGCTGAAGGTGCTTTATGGCTGTTGTCTCTGTATTTTATGCGTGATCCTTAAGAGAGCCACTGAAAACGTAACACCCACATGAACTGGAAGTTTCTGGAATTTGTAGAACTTGAACACCTTCCTTTTAGGCAATGGGCATTTCCAGCTGAACTCCAGGAGTTAGAGGTTGTTATTACCAAACCACTCCAAAGCTCCAAACCAGGTCAGTTATGCAGTTACACATCACAGTGTACCTTTGGTTACTGGATGAAGCAAGAGGGACTTTCTGGCCAGCAGTGGCCTCCCTCTGACTTGTACCCGCTCCAAGCCTCACAGAGCCCTTGGAGGCCACTGGCTTGGCATTGTCAGTGTTGGCATCCCTGGTGGAGGGTTTAGGAGGATGCCAAATACTGGAGGTCACATACTGTGGCGCATGCGCAGTGTCTGCAGGCCTGGGTGACAAAGATTACAAGGGGGTTTGAAAATGAGGCATTTCCTAGGGAATAGCAGGTATTTGAGGAAGAGACAGAATTCCAGCCACAGAAGAAGCTGGAGATCATCATGGTATCGCAGATGAAGTAATGACAAATCTTGACAGTTCATTAGTTTATTACTGCTTAAGACCAGGAAAGGCTTGAAGAATTAAAAAGGTACCTTGTGTTAAATCTGGAAACCATATTGCTATGAATATCAAAATAAGACACAAAGCAAGGCTGTGATGATAATGGAGGTGGAGAAAAGCTATGGTATGACAAGTCACACAAGATTAAAGCAATGTAGTATGACACTAACACCAGTCATATATCAGAAATTGTTCCTGGTTAAATAAAATCATAATTAAAAGAAAAGGAGATTTCAGTGGAGCAGCTGCACAGTCCTGTAGGTGGTTTTAAACAAATGAAACTGTTGGCAAAATGCTAACGTATTCCTTGTTTTATACACTTTAATTTATATACAGGAATCAAGGCGTTTATTTTCTTCTATTTTCATAATTAATTTAAAAATAAAAATCAAATTTCCCTACTGTTTCAAGGCCAGTTGCCATTGCTTGTGTCACTAGTAACAAATAACACTCGCACTCAGATTTTAACTCCATGCAACCTTTGTTAAAACGTGAGCAGTCTTATAAAGGAAAAAAAAAATACAAAGTGGTTGCACATCTGAGGCAGGAATCAACAAGATAGAGGAAAGCAGCGAGGTAGAATTCATTTCATGACAAACTAATAAGAGGCATTTCTTTGCTCTGTGAAACTATTGGTCAGATTCACTCAAGAAATACTTGTATCAGTACTTGTGTGGTTTAGCACATGAACTAATAGAAAACAGCACATTTTTATCTGTAACTGCAAAATGTGCTGAAATCCTTTGGGAGAAAATTTGACATGAAAAACTTACTTACAGAGAAATTGTTTTGAACCTCATAACCCACTGAGGACAATCAATATATGCAAGAATCCGACATGTAAGAGTTCTTAAAATACCAAAAAGATAATCTTACTTAGATTTAAAAAATATCTTGAATGATCTAGGCAAAGTTTAAAATGGAAATTGTTCTTAAAACTCCACCACAAATTGATAATACTCCATTTCAAGAATATTTGCTAAAAACTTGTTATTTTTCAGGTTTGTAATTTCTGAGAAAGATGATCCCCACCTGTCCCATGTCACAGTGCTTCTTGAAGTCTGCATTAGAAAGAAATGTCTAATAAACCCACTTAGTTGAAGCCTCCACAGTCATCACCTGCTCAAACAGCGTACAAATTTCATGTTTTTGAGGTAAGAACAATATGGGGAAAGTGGAGATAAACTCTTAACAGGAAGTAAGTCAAACACAGCAAACATTACCTGTTTTCTGATGCTGCTGCAACATTTTCCTTGTCTCTGTGAAAGGAGGGATACAGTGTGAATGAAGAAAATGCAATTGCCAGTGGTGGCAAGAAAACCCACCCAAAACCAACCAAGGAGAAAGAAAATGGGTTGAGCAGAAATGTTTGGTTGCAAAAAGCATCCTAGAGTGGTTGCTCATGAATATAGTTGCGAGAAATCTCTTCAGCTTTCCAGGTGAAACCCACCAAATATACAAGTCTACTGCATATTGCTTCTTATAATTATATGCTTCTTATCAGTTGCAAACAACTTTGTTTCAATAATAAAGTAAAAGGAAAATTAACAGTTACAAATTAGATGTTGTATGCCTGCTTTTAATTTCAGGAATAGTCTTGATTTTAATAAGTTCTCCTTAAAAAAAAAATCAATAGTGTTCCAGCAGAACATATTTTGATGCCAAATCCAAGCAGTGAAACTAATCAGACTTGGGCAATCCTCAAGGATCTGGTATTTTGAAGCGATAAAAATGGGTAACAAAGATTCTTACAAGAAGGATTTCTTGTGCCTGGTATCACTTAAAAATTCTCTGTCCTATCCAAGTACTAGTTTTCTCAATGTAAATCAGATTAGAAACAATTCCTTCACTGAATTCCCTCAATTAGAAATCATTCCTTCCTGAGGTGAGGAGTAAATCAGCCTTGATTTCTCTGATAGAGGACTGGGCTATTATTCTGAAAACACACACACATGCTTACAAAAAAACCTGATAAGTTTAAGTGCAAGCAACTGTGTATCTGTAAGAAGTTAAGACAAAAGTATTTTCATAAAGAATAGAATCCATTAGCTTTAAACTCCTAAGTTTGAAATCCAGTTAGTTAAGTAATTGAGATAGTCTCAATATTTAGCAATTTAGTGGGTGGTTGTGTCCCTTCTTATTTAAGGAGCTGTGCTGAAATTGATGGGTTTAAAGCTAAAATATGCCAAATGAGAACACTTTTCTTAACTGGGATCTGAAATTACAAAACACAAAGCAAATGTCCTCATTTATCCAACTGCACCTTCTTTCTGCATTGTCCTTTGGAAAAAAAAAAAAGGAATACATGTATTTATGTGGATTTGTTGGGCACCAATCATTAACTTACATTACATTTGGAAGGCTATTCTTAACGTTTTCCCCATTATTAGCAGTATTTTATGTGTCTCTGTGTTTATGTACTTACAGATACATATGTATGTATAGTCATATATGAAATGGCTTCTCCTTAGTTCAGTTTTAACAAAGTTATAAAAACCAATCCAGTTTAGATCAGCAAAGGTTTGGGCATAGGTGTCCTCTACAAATTTTTAAAACCTCTAACTAACATGTAACTCCTAAAATATATGAAGTCAGATTTTCAAACCTAGAAGTGGATCTGAAACGCCCCTCAGACACTGCCACCTGACTACCAGTGTTCCTGGGGTTGGTCTGGAAGAGCCTGTCTTAAAAACAAATGCCCTGATGAGATCAACCAGCTCACCACTCCGAAGCAATGAGAAACCAAACACTGCCTTTATGGGAACCAAGTTGTGAGTTCATTGCAATGTCAGGTAGAGCAAAGCCAGGATGAAACAAGGTAGAGGAGGATGGATTAGAGATTGTGTGTGTGTGTGGTGGGGGGAAGTGTTAGTACACCAAGAGCCACAGTCATGCGAGGACGTTAAAAAACACAGTCACAGCCTGAAAGGAATAAAACATTGCTTGTTCCCAAGTATTCTGAGAGGGATCACAGCCAAGACCAAAAGGTAGGCAGCTGGGGTCAGGCTGAAGCAGTGTTAAGCCTCTATGGTTATTATTAATCCGATCCAAACTTTTCTGCCCCATTAGTTGTGGCTACACCAAAGAAGAGCAAAAAAAGTCACTTGATTTTGAGGTCAGCATTTCATAAAAGCTTTTTCCCCGAGTGTACAAAATAGGATGACGTTGAGTGACAATGGCAGGGGAGTTGGGAAGGTGAAAAAGAGAGAGAAGTATAGTAAAATTACTTCCACAGAATAAAGCAAAGGAAAAAGCAGAGAGCAGAGGGAAAGATGAGTTCAAAGGCACACAATACTTCTTCATGGTGTGGCTTCCAGGAACTATTTCTCTTCCCAGTCAACAGGAGTAATGCCCATTTGGTTAACAATAAGAAAGGCTCAAGATCCATTGTGCCTCTTATTTGCAATACTTGCATTTTGAGGAACAGGCTATTGGATTTACGGCCTTTACAATCAAACATTTTCTCTAACTAAATGCAGAAATAATTTTACTTTTGAGTCCAATACATCCCTGAGGCAGGATCAGTAAAGTCAATACCTTCACCACATGAAAAAATCTGGCTCAGAATATTATGAGCAGTTTATATCTCTGTGGCTACACAGGCTGCTCCAGTAGTTTTTTGACAGTAGTTTTGAGCTATCTGGAAGAGATTTAAAATGAATTTTTTTTTGTTGGTTTTTTTTTTTTTTGTGGGGGGGTTGTTTGTTTGTTTTTTTGTCTGCAGCTTTTTTATTCCCCACTGAAATGGCTTTTGACAGAAGGGCCATTCTGAGAGAACAGTGCAACTCCCACAGACTTCATTAAATGTTGGACATATATCTAAACAAGATTTACACAATACACTGCCTTCCCAGTTACACGGTATATTATACAGTGGAAATCTTGAAATGCTTCCTTCTCATAAAGGTATGCTACAGGATATGGTCACGTAGACAGAATGACTGAAATTAGAAATAGAGTCTTTCCCCCACACACCAACAAGAACTGGTGTAACTGAACGCAAAATTCCTTTGCAGGCCAAGCCTGTGCGTGCTATTGGATCCTAAAAAGAGCCTGCAGACACTTCAGAGAGTTTCCAATGAGTATGTTAAATCTGAACTCTATGAACTGGACATGGGAATACTTTCCCATTCTACTTTATTTTTGGAAACCAAATGTAAAAGATTGCCAAACACCTACATATAACAGGTAAGCTGAAATGTGGAGGTTGTGTACCTTCCATCTGCCTTCTCTTTAGATGGCAACAGATGTTTAATGAAGACCTAATGACATAAGAAACATGAGGCATCCTGAGAGACCACATGGTCCTTCAGCTTTGTCTTTCAGGCTGAAGCAGTAAGTGAATACTGTAATTTAGTTTTTTCTCTATACTCTTATGGAGCAAGACTGTTTTTCTAATTTTACAAATGAGAAACTAAAACTTAATAGAGTTGCTCATGGTCACAAAGAAGGTCCACAGCGGGGCAAGGAACTGAAATAAGCTCTCCTGAATCTCAGTTGAGTATTTAAAATATCAGCTCACCCTCTTTAATGAGAGATTATAGATTTTTTAATAAATATATCTATTCAGTTTACTGGTATTTTCCTGTATTAGTCATCCAGTAGTCTACTACAGAGCCTGACAGATATATACTGGCCTTTTATGAAAGGGGAAGTGGATTTACAGATTATTAAGGTCCATATCTATTGAATTTAAAAATTCTGGTTTTCTAGTAGTATGGTGCAGATTTGTTGGAGTTAGACTTACAATAGCTTTCATCCTAACATACTTATATTTACATAAGCATATTTGCCTACAAATACGATTTCCTTTTAAGAAGTAGAAGTTACAAAATAACTTCAAAAGAAATTTTTACAGGGTGTCTGGGAGTAAAGTTGTGTTAAAGTTATTTTGTAATTGCCTTTCAAACATTTTTTTGTCTCAAAGGCATGAGACACTGACACTGTTGAAAACTGGACAATGAGCTACATTAACTGCTGTTCTGATCCAGTGGGGCTATTTCTACCTTTCTGTGTTTGCAGCTCAGAACTTTTCCATTGTCAGATGACTATAAAACTATTGAGGATGTTTGTCTTTTCTTCCCCCATGCTATATTTTTGTTATTCCAACACAGACATCCTAAGACACACAAAGAATCATAGGCAGTTAACGGAGAGGACAGAAGACAACTATCATGCTGGTTTAGTTAAAACTTTAGCTTGGAATCAGAAAAAAAGGGGTAGAAGAGCTAGTCTCTCTTTTTCAGCCACTGTAGTTAAGAATGTGAGCAGCCCACGCCAAAACGTGGCAATATTGTAATATATCCTCCTAGTGTGTCTGCTTTCCAAAACAGGGAAATACATTTCTCTCCGAAGGTATCCTGGTTTGTGCAGACAGTGGCACAGAACAGGAAAAGCATTATCATAGATTCAGTGGAAAAACCCCAGCAACTCATTCTCAACAAGCAGTATGGAACTCAGTCAAAGCAACTCGCTAAAATCAAAGCCAACACCTCCCATGAATGCATTTTAGTGGCACCTGCAGGTTTGCTGTTAAATGTAACAGTCACACAATAAATGCAGCTGGGCACACAGCAGCATTGGTGTTGGGGACAGGGAAGGTCACTCTTTTCCAAGATTTGCAGAGTGATATTTGCCATGCAAGTATAGGTACTCCCATTTTCAGTTTTATCACCAAAGACTGCAAAACTCTGAGCAATTTGAGCTGGGACTTAATTTGCATAATTATTCCCTGTCTTGGCCTTAAGTGTGCAACTGGATTGAACAGAATGATTTGGCCCAGCTTTTTACAGCCTCACTGGTAAAGTGCAGGTATCTGCCACCAGGCACCTGAGCACAGGATCTGGACTTTCAGGCTGTGTTTGTGACCATTACAGACAAGACCGGTGCACAATAAGTTTAGATTTTGTATGCCAGGAAACAATTCCCCTTTCACTGAAGTGTTCTTTCTCTTCATGACTTCACTTTTCTCCAGGGAAGCTGAGAGAACAAGAACCCAGAGATCTCAATTTCAGCTGGTAGTTCTTTTAGACCTACTTTTTAGTTTGTGCACATTGATGACAAGAAAATTCATACTTCTATGTGGCATTATGCTAAGTTTGCAGCTGCCTCTGAAATACAGCAATGTGTCTGTGCTGTTCAGTTCCTGAGTCAAGTAACTAAGTGGTATGAATTAGAACACTTGTCACTCTTTCAGAATGTGGATTGCATTTTATTTCATAAACTCTCTTAAGGATTTTCTTACCTTCCCTCTCT